CAACCACGCCCCTCGCTCCACTCGTCGTCCGCCCCGTCCGGGGGAGAGGAGGGAGGGGAGAACCGCACGGTGAACCATGGAGGGAGACGGGGTAGGAGTCGTCTGCCTCCTGCCCGGCACTCGGCTCCATGGACATGCTGCCGTCCACGTGCTCCTGGACGGGCCAATCGTCCTCGTCGGCCGCAGCAGGGTCGCGCTGCTTTGTGATTTGACAATCATTTCAAATCACGATTTTGATTTAAAATGGTTTAATCATTCAGCCCTAGTAAGCACTGATGAACTGCTCTTATTTCCTCTGCCCTCTCCAGCTCCGATGGGTCACACCTCAGCCAGCGTGATCCCCCTGATCAAGGTGGGCCGGGGGATGTACAATGTGATGCACAAAGACTCAGGAGTCACTCGTTTCCTGGTCTGTCAGATTTACACTGTGGAGGGCAGCAAGTACGTCAAGATCCGCTCTCCATTCCAGGTACTGCACTGATGAACGCATACATATTCCCTCAGTTTCATACTTATTATGTTTATCTCATCTGTAATAACTTCCCTGTTAACTCCATCATTGAAAATAACTGATTATAAGCAGCAGTCCCAGCCGAGGTTGAACTTTATGTATTAAAATAGCCTAGGATTTAAATTGAAATACAAGAACATACATCTCCAAAGCCTCATTTTTTCTCTCCTCTTTACGCAGATCATCAATCATTTCTCAATCCCATTCAACGTTTTTGAGGGATCAACATGTCTGGGTAAAGCTCTCCCTACTGAAGAGTTCTGTGTGCCTTTGGACTCGTATAGGTGAGAGCAAACACTTCTCTTTCCCTCTGTCTCTCCTTATCCCACTCTCACTATCGTAGTACACACTCCCTCACCCACATCTGCTCTCTGCTGCCTCTCAGGTCTGAGCTGAGCCTTCGGCCGATAACAGAGGAGGACACTGATGATCAGGAGGAGCAGTACGAGTGCTCAGAGGGTTTCAGCTACGAAGACTTCCATGCTCATGAGCCCGACACACGCCTGCAGCAGACCTGCCGTCGGCGTGGAGATCAGGGTGGTGTTCTGATGGTCAACATGGTGCCATCGAGAGACGCTGTGACATTCAAACACACTGGAGATGTTGGGGAGAACTTCGATGTTCCCTTTGTGCTTCATCTGTGGCCTTCCATCCTGCTGCGCAACCTGCTGCCTTACCCCATCTCTTACAAACTGAAGGTATGATGTGTCTGGTAGTGACCTCTCCAGTGGGCCATTGGCGATGGAAAAGGACTATATGGCTTGTATGTTTTAGCACAGTCCAACATTTTACAAACTATACAGATTTTATGTATTGGTATTAATGCAAGTATAGTATACAAATGTTGGATGTTCGATCCAAGGCCGGGTCATTTTATATTAAGTATCTGCTGATATCGAGCCCCGACTTCTATTTTCCTCATCATACACATCAATTATTGTCCAATATACTCTGTACAGTCTATGCTTGACAACTGAGTAACTCTGCATTCCATTTCAAACGTATGCATCAATGAATGCACCAACAAGGAAGTCCTTATAAACTGCTTGCAATTGCATTGATCCATGGTGGTTAGAAAACCCTAAAAGTCTGAAAACAGGCAATGCTTTCAAAAATGAATGGTAGTAATGTGTCCACACTTTGAAAGCAAGATTTGTAAATGTAATACAAAGGCTACATATGATTAAAATATATATAGTTAATATTTATCTTCAGATTTGTCTACCTACCATCATGTGTTGTTTACAGACTCAAAACAGAATGAATGCTGAGCTTTTTGGCCTATGATCTTACTAAAGTCCGTTACCTCAGATTCACTGTTGAACTCAGTGTTGTTTTCTGCCTGCTGCTCAACAGGACAGTGGTGTCTCTGCCCCTGAGGCCACTCTGAACCAGGGCCACTCTGCCCAGCTTCACACTGCGGTCATCAACCAATCAAGTCTCGATCTGTGCCTACTGAACTACTTGGATCAGGACTGGTCTTCTGAGTACAGGTTGGACTTTGATGTCATTCATTGTTGAAGTTTTTTCCCAT